ATAAGGCTACTCCGCCTCCTCTCCCCTTTGTTCGGTTTCTGTGAAAGAGGTTATACCCCTCGATATCTACATTCCAGCGATAGGAGTCATCCCACATATAATCCAGTTCAAACAGATAATCTGGATTTTATATGGCAGTGAAGAGGGGGCCGTAGATGTGACCAACAGACCACAACAGATGCATCTACAAACTGTAATGAAGCAATGGCCAAACAAATTTGGCAGCAGCGAGGTAACACTTTTCCACACTTCTGGGCACGTTTTGACCAAGGAGAGGAGCCAGGCCCTGTAACTCCCTCAATCCTGGAGAAGGAAGGAACCAACCAAGCAGCCAGTAGGCATTTGACAATTCATTGGTTTTGTTTTCTTTTGTGTATGCACCTTGCAGTGGGTGCCAAGAGAAAAACAAATTGGCCCTGAGGTCCATCAAAGTAGCCATCCTTGTGGTTGTGTATCTTCCATCCATCTGCAGCCATGCTAGTGTAGAACACACACGAAGCATCATAACTCTGATCCTCAAACAGACTACAGAGGCTTGTAATTATGATTTATATCATTAATGGATTAGTACTAAATATTTAAGGAATTAATTGAGAAGTTAAGGATTACTAAAAATTAAGAGTGTTGAAGAATTAAGAAAACCATTAAGACATTAAGAAGTAAAATCTTGTTATCAGAGTAAACAATCAGTGTCCCCCAAATCAGCATTTAAAGAAATTAATTAGCTATATAAAATTAAGCAAAACTTGTTTGTTTGTGGGAATGAGAAGAATTAATATTTTGGAGACTGGAAAAAGAGCCACAGACTTAATTTTAATCATGATCTACTTTCTAGCCACTACAAGCATGGAACTACAAGTGTGCAAGTGGAGCTTTCCTAAAACTAGTGAATGGATAGTTGTTTTTCATGAGAGTGTAGAACTGCTTTCTCATTAGAGGAGAGCATGATGACTGTGTGAATGGATTTTAAAACTTAGGTAAAGGTAAAGGTTCCCTTGACATTAAATATAGTCATGTCCAACTCTTGGGGTGGTACTCATCTGCATTTCTAAGCCGAAGAGCTGGTGTTGTCCATAGATATGTGGTCATGTGACACCTTCTGCTGTCAAGAATTCAATGACTGAACATTCCTTAAGTCACATTGATATACCTTCTGCACAGGGTTCCATACTTTGCACTTTAACAACACAACCATTCAATGCTAAGGCTTCCTGCCAAAATGGAACTGTAGAGGATAGTCTACTGACCAAGCCAGTATCTGCCGCATACCAGTACTGCCATCTGTTGAAGAGTTACAAAGGTGGAGGCCTTACTTTTCATTCAACCCTCGTACATTGGTGAGATGTTTGCATGACATTCATGAATATAAAGAAAGGAAACAGCTACTTTTGCTAGCTTTCCTGATATAGAGTAAGGTTTAACATGTTCTAACTTCTGGTATGCTTTTCCTTTCTTCTTCTTCAAAGGCTATTAGCTATGTAATATTTCCTCCGCAGTGCTATATCACATAGGGATTCTTGGAAATCAAAACAAAGCCTGTCCAGAGCCAAACCTTCCACAAGGAGGAGGAAAACCACAGCAGGTGGAGATTATTTGCACAGAATAGTGGATAAGATAATGGGTTGAGAGAATCCAGGCCACAAGAGTTGAATGCCATTTTCTTCATTTGTATGTACTCATTCATTGCACTGATAATCCCGTTAGAGCAGATATGGAAATTTTGCAGCCCACCAGATGCTTCCAAGCCTTTCTTATTATTTAGATATGATGGTTATAGCTGCCTGATGTTGAAATCCAAAAATATCTGAAGGCTGCACAATTCCACATGAGTATCACTGTAAATACAACTACCATTCATTATTTGATGTATCAGGCAATGTAATTTACTGTACATACTCAGGGTTTTTTGGGGGGAGGGGGGAGAAGGAGAAAATTATTGAACTTGATGTAACCCATGGATAAATTGAAGGTCATTCTGCAGAGGTGGTTGGTACTTCTTTTAGGTTCTCTCGCCTTTCACCACTTTACTCAAGAGGATAGTTCTATTTTATATGACTTAAGGCACGGTGCTGACTAGGAGCCAAGGTGGTACAATGGGTTAAACCCTTGTACCAGCTGAACTGCTGAGTTGAAGTCCTGAAGGTCGGCAGTTCGAATCTGAGGAGTGGGGTGAGCTCCCATCTGTCAGCCTCAGTTTCCCATGTGGGGACATGAGAGAAGCCTCCCACAAATTGGTAACACATCCGAGCATCCCCTGGGCAACATCCTTGCAGATAGCCAATTGTCTCACACCGGAAGCAACTTGCAGTATATTCTCAATTCGCTTCTGACATGATAAAAACTTTTTTAAAAAACCTGTACTGACTAGAATTTTTATATTTATACATGAGGCAGTGACAGACTTTTTATTTCTAGGTGCAAAGAATACTGCAGATGCAGAATGCAGCCAGGAAATCAGAAGACGTTTACTTTTTGGGAGGAGAGCAATAACCAATCTTGATAAATTAGTGAAGAGTAGAGACATCACACTGGCAACGAAGATCCGCATAGTTAAAGCAATGGTATTCCACATAGTAACGTATGGATGTGAGAGCTGGACCATAAGGAAGGCCGAGCAAAGGAAGACAGATGCTTTTGAACTGTGGTGCTGGAAGAAAATTCTGAGAGTGCCTTGGACTGCGAGAAGATCAAAGCAGTCCTTACTCCAGGAAATAAAGCCTGACTGGGGGTGGCCCCAGCCGACAAGGAGCTCTGGTGTGGGCTGGTCCATGAGGTCACAAAAAGTCAGAAGCGACTGAACGAATAAACAACAAACATGAGTACCTAGGATAGAAGCTTTTTTTAGAGCCTCACGTCCTTTTCCCTCTTGTCCTCTGTCCAGCCAGATATTTGAAGAGCATCAGCATTGGGAGGTGATGAAGGAGGGCTGGTGAAACACAGCAGCATGTTTGAAGTAAACCATGCAGTAAAATTTGACCTGGGAAAGAATGGGATTTTACTCTAGACAACAAGCAAGGTAAACAGCAGCTGCCTCCAGAATCACTTACTGAACATGCATGTATAGCAAAACAGAGAAAAAAGGCAAGTAGACAATTCTGCCTCACCAACTACCCAGAAAATTAAGAAAGAACAGATCTATATGTCTGGCCACAAAAATGGAAGTCATAAGAAAAGCGAAGGCTGATAAAAAAGAAAGAACTTATCATTATTCTTTCCATATTACTTCTACCTCTGATATCAAATTTTCTATTAAAACAATAATTCCCAGGAACACACCTACTTTGTAAACTGGGGTATACTTGTATTCGTACCATAACATAGAAGTTGTTCATATTGATTGTCAGTATGTAATGTTATCTGGTGTGAAAATGGCTTATAGATTAAACTGTGTGATTTCACCAATGCATGTGTTAAAACAATAGAGATGTGTAACATTGGTAGAGTGTCATTTATGGAGTTTCCTGTGCAAAACGAAAAGGGGTTCTGATGATGTGTACCATGCTCTGTGCAGCTTGCAAAGATGTGAACGGACATGTTTGGAGATTGTCATGTATATTTTGTAAATAAAAGTACCACTTTCGATAAAAGCTGAATTAAGAAGTCTGGTGTTTTTACCACTTCTTACGGAGCCCCTGGTGGTGCAGTGGGTTAAACCCTGTGCTGGCAGGACTGAAGACCGACAGGTCGCAGGTTCGAATCCGGGGAGAGGCGGATGAGCTCCCTCTATCAGCTCCAGCTCTTCATGCAGGGACATGAGAGAAGCCTCCCACAAGGATGATAAAAACATCAAATCATCCAGGCATCCCCTAGGCAACATCTTTGCAGACGGCCAATTCTCTAACACCAGAAGCGACTTGCTCCTGACACGACCAAAAAACCACTTCTTACCTTTCAAATAGAACTTGAAAGGTCAAAGTACAGTAGAACTTGAAAGGTCAAAGCAGCTGAGATAAGGAAGGTGATTTATCTCAATTTTCCAAAATTTATGTGGTCAAAAAGATCTGTTTTCTTCATTTGAACAGTCCAGAAAGCAATATCTTGTGGTTATCCACCTTTTAAAAAAAATACTCAATCCCAAACATTTTATTCAGAAGTTGGTCCCTCATACTTCGAAAGATTGTGTGCATGCTTAGAGCTACAACTGTAATTATTTAGAAAATTAATAGCCAATTTTATAAATTTTTACTTAATATTTCATACACTAAAAGATTCAGACACATTTCCTTTCCTGCAAAAACAAACAAAAAACAAGGGAATGTATGATGTGCAGGACTGGTATATGCTATTGGCTCAATTGCACATCTATATGAAATGCTAAGTGATGTACCAGAAGGGAGCTAATTGTATTACCCAATCTTGCATAAGATTTCTACGTGGAAGGTTCCTGAGGCTCTCCTCAACCTTTACTTTCTGAGTTCAATGGTAGCCACCCTCCTTTCTTCCCTTTCTACATATCAATTTGCTTTCAAGTAGATTTTTCTTCTTTTTCTTGATCATCATTATTCTCACAACAACAAATCTTTATTTATATCCTGCTTTTCTCCCTAAACAGGACCCAAAATGGCTCACAACATTTAAAAAACAATACAACTCACCAATAAAAACAACCATAAAATGGAACATAAATAAACAATTTAAAATCATTTAACAGATACAATGATTGTGGGAACTCGTTCGTTCAAATACACTTCACTTGACTCACTGAAAGTGAGCCTTCCTGTCATAATCAACCTTGATCCACCTCACCACTTCCCACTGCAACCTGTACTGGCTAACAGCCCATCCTTTACTGCTGAGGAGTTCAAGATGTCTGGCACAGACAGACGAGGAGTGTTTTTTATCACAAGACAGATTTCTTTGCAACGGCTTAGTGAACATTTCTGCACAATAAGCCACTCCTGGCAGAATTCACCTTAGCCTTTTCAGTGCCTTTTCTGTCTTCTAAATTATTGCTAAGTAGGAGGGCAATTAGGCTTCTGCAATTAAAATGATTTACTTACCCTATGTAGCAAGTGGAGCATCTCCACATATCTGTGAAAAAAGAAACACAGCTTTATTAACGTGCTAGCCAGCAAGAGCTGAAAGAATCTACGTCAAATGCACTCAAGTTCACGAAGTAGCACCAAACCAGATGTTAGCTGATGGACTCACTCTTTCTCTGAAGACAGAAGGTCCTGGGCAATAAGGTGAGCTCTGGATTGTCCCTCTTTCTGTTTAAAAGAACAGGAAAAAACACCAAGAGTCAATGATAGAAGGATAAAGTAGTGAGTGATCTCAGCCTTCACACTGTTTGGATCTGGTGATTAAAAAGTATTATTACTATGATTATAGTTGTTATTGTTAACATCCCAGGCTATTACCTAGTGTCTTGCATCTGAGGAAGCAGATTTGGGCTATGTCTACACTTACAAAATTAATTTAGGATAAATTTCTCTGGATCTGCCCTGATGCAGCCTGGAAATATTCCCAGAGGCCTTTTGCCATCTAGACGAATGGACAGGTTGACAGTGGGGCCACCACTACTGTGTTGCTGATCACAAGCAGCTCTCTCATGGAGGCTTGCTGGTGATATTGTTTCTCTTGGTCACAAGGCAGGGCACCTTGTTGTCACCTCACCAGAAGCAATGTTGCCAGCAAGGCTCCATCAGGGAGCTGCTCATGACTGCTCATGCAGCGGTGGGTCTATTGGATATGTGGACTATGACTTGGTCTGCATCCAGCTGTCTACACCTCCAAAACTTGGGATTACTCTTAAACTTCCAGGAAACTCCAAAATACATTCCATCTTTCCCTGCATTGGATTAACCATTGGATGCAGTGCTTTTGCTGTGAATTCCGTTTGTCATGGGGACTCCCCACAGCAAATGAAACATGAGTTCACATTACTTGTCCAGTGTAAACACAGTCTCAGTATACAAAAACTTATGTTACCAACATCTTTATCTCAGTTAATCTTGAAGGTCCAACAAGACCCCTTTGTATACTGATAACTTTAGATATATACACATAGAAAATAGATTATGCTGTTCTTCAGAGAGCAAACCCAAGTCCTGCAGAGTTTTCTGTAGGTCATAATGAGGCCCAGAAGAAAAGGTGTGTGAAGCTTTCCCAATTAAAAAGCTCACTACTATGTTCTGACATATAAATTTTCTAAAACATCTCAGAAGCAGCCTGAAACACAACAGGTTACTGCTGGTATGTGGCTCTCCAGAGCTGTTTTATCTGGATCCCAGGGGGTCCACATGTTCCCACCAGGAAAAAAGGGCACCTAAACAAATGGTAAATCATCTTCTTTCTGTTATGTAATAAATATAGTAACATTTCAGATTTGGAACATATGATATTTAAGAATTTTCTTTTCAAATTAACCTGAAAAAAATTACTGTTAAATGTCAGTACACATTACATTTTTGACATTTACCATTGCATAGGTATTAAAAGAGTTTTGCTCTGTGAAAGTGTCATTTCAGTTACCCCTCATAATTCTTGCTTATGTTATGAGACATAAAGTTTCCCATGATCATAGATAAAATATTATCAATGTTATGAATGCTACCCCAAAATTCAAGGAATAACACACAAAACAGAAAATAAAGAGAGTCCTGTGGAACTTCAAAAGGGCCAATGTGTTTTATGTACTATACAATTAGCTTTGGACTTATCGTGACCTTGTGATGAGAGGCTACCAAGAAACGCTGTTACTGGCAGCCTTGCTCAGATCTTGAAAGCTTCCTTGGCTGTGCTAACCCACCTTCAATGGTATTGACCTTCATAAATCAGAATGCACACATGCGTATATGAATTGTGTAATACGCATATTTGCATTCACACATACAAACATTGGTACAGAGGAAGTCCTTTTAAGTGGTGGTGCTAAGAGGTGATGAAACTGAGGGGGCAGCAATACCAGCAACTCTGCACGTCCTCTACTGATGGGCTTGGCTCAGATCTGCCAAGATGCAGAGCATTTTTCACTGGTGGCCAAGGCTCACTCTCCCTTCTTGTATACAGTTTGTCACCCTTGGTCATTCTGTTCATGATTAATTTGTCTTGAGCTGAAAGTCAAAACACTGGGACCCCTAGTGTCACATGGCCTGTCTAGGGCAAGTTCTGAGACAGTGTCTCTAGGCGTTGCCCCCATTTTGTGTTGTTTAATTGCTGTTTGTTTAACCAGGAAATGAACTCCGGGATTGACGACAGTGTCCGGAGACAGACTTCTGGGAACAGAGAGATGTAGGGAGTGGGGATCCCTCAACTATCAGGATCCCAACACTGTACCGAACTAGAATATGAAATATGAACAGCTTCCATTTCATTTTAGTGACCTTTGCTGGCTATTTGCTAGCCAAACTTTGAGCACTTTGTAGGCTTCCTTCCTAGGCTTCTGTTTCCCAGTAGCAGCAGAGGTTTCAGTCCTGCCGTTCAGTCTGAGCTTCAGTGAAGGAAGCCATGGATCTGACAAAAAAACCTCTGGCTCTTTGCCTAGTCAAGCCTCATTGCTTTTTATAGCCTTATCTTCCTCACAATCTGAGGGCCTTCCCAGTCTTTTAAAATATACTTTTATCTTTAGCACTCAGTTTGTACTAGCACTGCGCAATGTTGTTAAAGTAACATCTCATTCTCTAATGATGAACAGAAGGGCAGATCAAGGACTAGTAACATTTCTGTGTTTAAAAAAGACCAGAGGAGATTTCAGAAAGAGTGGAGAAAAAGTGGTTTTGTTTAAAAAGGAAATGTTCTCAACATCTGGGAGGTGCACCAAGGTCATAAACACGTTTGCATCTTAAGTGATTTTTCAAAATAGTACCCACTCCACTTCTTGTCGGCATTAAGAGTAAGGAAACTGAAGACAGGAAAACAAGACCTCACTCTGGAATTTGCTGATAGAAGGATTGTTTCCTATTGGTTCAGAAATAAATCAGCTCATGGGAGGTGAGCCGTTTCTGTATGTTCAGCACACTATTCAAAAAGCTTTATTTCTTCAAAGTAAAGTAAAAAAATCTTTTTCAAACTTCTGCAAAGTTCATAAAATGGAGTGCATGTGTGGCTCAATACTGATGAAGCTACAAGCCCTCTAGAGCAGTGGTTCTCAACCTTCCTAATGTCGCAACCCCTTAATACAGCTCCCCCAGCCATAAAATAATTCTCATTGCTACTTCATAACTGGAATTTTGCCACTGTTACTGAATCGTAATGTAAATGCCTGATATGCAGGCATATGTATTTTCATTCACTAGACCAAATTTGGTACAAATATCCGATATGTCCAAATTTGAGTACTGGCAGGGTTGGGGGGGGGGGTGTATTGCTGGGATTTATAGCTAACCTATAATCAAAGAGCATTCTAAACTCCACCAACAATGGAATTGAAACAACCTTGGCACACAGAACTCCTATGACCAATAGAAAATACTGGATGGGTTTGGTGTACACTGAGGTTGAGTTTTGGAGTTGGAGTTCACCTATATCCAGAGAGCACTGTGGACTCAAACAATGATGAATCTGTACCAAACTTGACACAAATTCTCAATATGCCCAAATGTGAATACTGGTGGTGTTTGGGGAAAATAGACATTGACATTTGGGAGTTGTAGTTGCTGGGATTTATTGTTTACCTACAATCAAAGAGCATTCTGAACCTCACCAACAATAGAATTGGGCCAAACTTTCCACACAGAACTCCCATGACCAACAGAAAAACCATCAAACAAATGAAATGCTGTATATACTCATCTATAAAGTGAGGCCAAAATTATGGATTTGATATGACCTGTGGATAAGTTGAGGGCCATTCTGTGGCAAAGCGAAAGGGCCAATATTGCCTCAGGAGAGGGATCATTGATAAAGAGTTATGGTACAGTATTTACAGTAATCCATGAATAAGGTGATCCATGTCTTTTGGGTTGACTTTTGACTAAAATTTCCAGATTTATTCACAAGTATATACAGTAAATTGCAGTACTGATATTAAAATACTGAAAGCAATCCTTTCAGTTTTGCAATGTACTGATTTATAAGTTGCTGGGCACCAGACACTAACACCAGAAAATATTTGATACCCAGATTTGTTGGCACATAACAAACCACAAAATCTGTCAACATAGCCATAAAAGCCACCAAATTGTTCAAGAATTTACTCTCCAAAAAAGAAGAGAAAGAAGTATTAAGTATAACATCCAGACCAGATAACTCTTTCTGTGGAAAGCAATATTCATTTTATTGTAGTATGGGAAACCAAGTCAAAATCACTCTTTTGAAACATCTTTTGAAACATTCAAAGTGTATTGATAGTGCAACTCAAAAGACACTCCCTCCCCCAAAAGGGAAAATCTTAAGTAATATGTCTAGATTCCTATAAGTAGGCTGCTATTTTCTCCCTTTTGATGAAAAATGGTTTGTTTTGTGCCAAAAGTATTGCTTAAATAAACAAGAATAAAACTGATAAAATAAAGGGAGCACAAGCAGCTAAATAATTTTAGTTGTTGTCAGTTTTTCCGGGTTATATGGCCATGTTCTGGGTTTCCATATAGCCCGGAAAAACCGACAACAACCCAGTGATCCCGGCCATGAAAGCCTTCGACAATAAATAATTTTAGACCAAAAACGGACAACAGCGAATTCATTGTCTTTATCCTTAAACAGTTCTTCCTCTGTGCATGAGGCAGGGCATTGTGGGCAAGCATACAGATGCGGAATTGTTTGTTCTGCTCCACAATCACACAAGTTGGAAGATTCTTCTAGGGAGCACCATTTAGCCAGGTTGTCATTTAGCCAGGTTGCCCACTCCCCTTCTGAGTCTGTTCAGAGACTTCTAAGTTGCCCATTCTTGGTTTGCCTCTGGAAGAAGACTCTTGTGAAGGGCCATCCAATTGGTGAAAAATGGTGATCGCATGTAAACACAACTTTAGTAGTATATGCTTTGGCTCTATGTGAATTTTTTTTTGCTTTTACAGATAATTGACAATTCCTTATTACTGTTCTGTAAATCGAAGTCATTGCTGTGCTTCTGAATCATAACTTGAGCTAATGATTACTCCCCATTTACAGGTTAAGCATTTGCAGATTTCATCCTTTGTTATGTTCAGTATTTGCCTCCTCCTCCCATGCTGTCATATTCACAACCATATATGTATGTGTATGTTTTCTAGGCACTTCTAGGTCCTCCAGAGTGATTGCACAGTCAACTAACAGACCATAAAATCATGTCAAA